TGTAGCCCATGGCAGCTCAGTATACAAATGGATTTCCTAGTAAGGGGAACAGGGACACAGGGACTGTCTCTGACATAAACTCCTTGACCACCCCACCCCTGATGGGGGAAGCAGCCTTGCCAGGTCACAGAAGAAGACAATGCAGCCAGTCCTGATGAGACCTGAATAGCTAGGGTCAGATGGAAGGGGAGGAGGATCTCCCCTATCAGTGGACTTGGAAAGGAGAATGGGAGGAGATGAGGGGAGAGAAGGTGGGATTGGGAAGGAATGAGGAAGGGTGCTACAGCTGGGAAACAAAGTGAATAAACTGTAATTAATATAAAAATATAAAAATTTAATTAAAAAATTGGTCAGTAAAGGGTTAAGGATCCCTGGATAATTTTGGTTTTGGACCTACAACCTTTTGAAATCTTTTTTTGTTCTAGTCAGTATATTTTGCAGAAGATTCAGTGAAAGGTATGGTGTTCTCAGAAGCCTTTGTTCTCAGCACTATGAAGATTTGGGAAGCACAATATAATGAAAATAACCCCACAAATATTGAAGCCATGTTGATTCTGTTTCTTCCATGTTCTAGAGAAAGTGGTTATTTCTTATGGATTCTGAAGAAGAGTAGTACACATAACCTCAGGGAGCCTCATGTTGTTCTCCTAAGTGAATACAGCGAGGACAGTGAGTGTCATTTGGAGAGGGAGTATTGGCAAATAGGCAAAGAGAACAATATACTTGTGCTAGATTTAATATAATGTTTATCTCTGAGAAAGTGAAAAGGAAAGAGCTAAGGCAAGTGGCCTAAAATTAACACTTTCAGAAACATTTTATTCCACACACTATATTCTGGGCATCTATGTTTCTGTCTCTATTTCTCTCTGTCTCTGCCTCTTTCCTCTCTGCTTCCCTCTCATTTGGGTGTCCATGTGCGCATATGTGTTTTTGCATGTGTGAGTGTATACTTGTGTGTGCGTGCACGCATGTGTTTGTATGTGTGTGAGTATGTGTTTCTGTGTGTATGTTTGTGTGTGTATGTGTTCAAAGTCCTACTTTATCAAGGAAGGTGGGGTGAGGGGTGAGTGCTGGCTCCTTCTCCGGTCTTGTCAAGGGTGCCATTTCCCGTGGTCTTGCACCTAGTACTTACCCTTCCATTTTCTGTCAGGATTAGAAAACATTTGTTTACAAACTCTTCTCTGAGGTGGATGATGGGATATGCTCCTTTTTCATGAGTCTCAACTAAAACATGGCTACCTAGGAATTAGGAAGCGTAAAAGTATAATTATATGCTGTGTGAAAATTACTTATGATGGGAAAAGATCTAACCCATTAAAATAGATTCCTAATGGAACAATCCTGGGCAGTACAGGGTTGATGTTTTCTGTGTGAACTGGGTTTGGGTCACCTATATCTAGACACTAAGTATACCAAGGAGTTATTTTAAAATGTGCAATAACTAAGGGAGGAGCAGAGATACCACACCAGCTCTGTGAGAGATAACTATAAATAAAGTGGATGAGTGCTAAAATCTAAAGAAAAGAACCAAATCTCTGGAACTACAGCATGAATAACTACAGAATGAGCAAAAGTTCAAGTAATGGTGTCACGACTTAAAAGAGAGGAATCCTAATATTCATTAATTTACCTTGAATGTTATATGATTTTGTGCTGTAAGAAGCAATGAAAGGAAGTATGTATCCATGAACTCTGAGATTCTATGAAGCTGTATCATCGTCTGAACATCAGTGGAAATGTCACTGTGTGCCCTTTATCCTTCATGTAAATACTTTGTCAATGCACACTCAAGTATCACATTTTAGAAAAAGACAATAAGTTACCTATTTCCAAACAAAGGTTTTTAGTAGTATGTGCTCACTAGTTATGTTGGTAGGTAGGAAAGAGAAACCAACTAGACTCAGTGAAGAAAAATGTGTTGGAAAAGGAGAAATGTGTATGGTGGTGTTAAATAAATGAAATGAGAGGGAATGTTTGTAGCTGTATAATACAATGTCAGGGAACACTCATTTGAGAGGAGAGCATTTGAGTAAAAGGTAGTGGATAAGAAAATGAAATCAAGCAAGTCTAGCTTGCTTAAGAGTCCACTTTAATTGAGCCGAGTGAACTGTGTTATAATATATAATTATATTAATATATAATATCAATTATATATATGTAATGAGAGGAGGTCAAGGGAGGATGCATAATATTGTACATATTTTTCAGGCTTATTACATGGTTTCTGCAAGCAAAATATAAGCTGTGGAAGACTGTAAGAAGTCAAATATTGAAATTACAGATTATAGATTTTGCCACAAAATCAAATGAGGCTGAAAGAAAATTCCATGGAACTTCTAAGGTTTAAGCATAAGCAGGAATATTGGATGCATGAAGCTGCTGGACAGTAAGGTTTATTGGGAGAATGTAAAAGAGGCTCATGTTAAGATGCTCTTCCTGAGATACTGTTTAGAGGTTTCCCTCTAATCACCGGAAAAGGGCAAAAAAAAAAAAAAAAAAAAAGAAAGAAATGAAGGTTGAGGAAGAAGCTGAGAGCCTAAGGTCAGTTTGTGGCTCATCCACGTTTATTAACAGAAGCAAAGCTATGGGAGACTGAAAGGGGAAGAGTATGAAGACAGGAGGAGGAATGCTAACCAGTCAAACACCTGAGACAAGGGGAGCAGATAAACAGGAGAGCATCAGAGAATATATATTTTTAAAGCATTATTAATTTAATTTTACTATTAGGTACTAAAATTGATAATAGGACTTTGCTTGAAGGAATCTTTTTTTTTCCTTCTTTCTGCATTTTATTTTTTCATTTATTTATTTATTTAATCACTTTACAGCCTGATTCCAGCATCCTCCTCTCCTCCCAGTCCTGCCCTCATGCATCCCTTCCCCCCACTCCTCTCTTTTCTTCTTCTCAGAGAAGGGGAAGACCCCAGGGGCTAGCAAACCATCCAGGCACCTCAGGTCACAGTAGGACTAAGCTCATCCCCTCCCACTGAGGCCAGACAATGCAAGCCAGCTAGAGGAAAAGGATACAAAGGGAGGCTACCGAGTCAGAAACAGGCCCTAATCCCGTTGCTAATGGAATCATGTGATGATCAAGCTGTAAGTAGCCCAGAGAAAAACAAATGTTCCAAGGATAGAAGAATGAAAGTGGAGCTGGAGAGGTGGCTAGGCTCACAACCACAAAATAAGAGAAATGAAAGTGAACTGACCCTTCAAAGGATTGAGAATTTATCACTTCATTCAGTAACATAAGTCAGTAAGAGGCTTTATTACAATGCTCTTAATAGGACAATAGGAGCAATAGTACACTACAGCCTTGATATAAGAGAAAAACATATTTGGGTACAACAGATTGGGCCGGCTATATTAACTAGTTAGCCACATAGAACCATACTTATAGATACAAAGATATGCTTCATAAAAATGTAAAATTTCAAAAAGCAAAATTTTCTGAGAGTAAGAAAGAAGAAAGAAGAATCTTAAAAAAATTATCCTAATAGGTAAGATAATTTGATATTATAGATAAAATATTTTTCTTGATTATTTAGAAAATACGAAGTACTCTATGTCTTTCTTTCCTTTTTTCTTTCCTTCTTTCTTTCTGTTTTGTAGAAAAAAATTATGCTAAACCTAGAAAGGAATATACATAAAAAGAAAGGTTATATTATTTGTCTGCATAGTATATTCATACACAGTCATCACAGACAAAAAAAAAAGAGACAATTTAAAGTAATGTTTTTGAGCAATTCCATATAACATTATACAAAATCATGATTCATTCCCACATGCACATTTATTCAAATTTAAAACCATGGAGCTTTGAAATGTCATTAAATCTTGGGAAAGACTTTATAATACTGCAGATTTGATTCCAAAGATTTCCATTCATACATATTTAAAGACACGGGACATAACTAAAATTACATTCCTAATTGTGATCTTAAAGAAGTCCTTCAACAGAGGAATGGATACAGAATTTTGTTTTTGTATTGTTTAAATTGTTGTTGGAATACTATTTAACTATTAAAAACCAGGAAATCATGAAATTTGCAGGCAATTGGTGAGAACTAGAAAACATCATCTTGAATGAGGTAACCCAGAAGCAGAAAAATAAACATGGTATATACTTACTCATCAGTGGATATCAGCCATATAATATAGGTAAACATATTAAAATCTACAGACCTAAAGAAGCTAAATGACAAGGAAGACCCTGGGGAAGATGCTTAATCCTCATTCAGAATGACAAATGTGATAGACATTGGAAGCAGGAGAAGAGAGGGAACAGGACAGGAGCCTACCACAGGGGGCCTCTGAAGGACTCTCCTAACCTAGATATCAAAGGAGATGCTGAGACTAAAGCCAACCTTTGAGCAGAGTGCAGGTTATCTTATGAAGAAAAGGGGGATATAGAAAGACCTGGAAGAAACAGGAGCTCCAAAAGGACACCAAGAGAGCCAAAAACAAAACGAAACAAAATAAAAACTGAGCCCAGGGGGACCTGCAGAGACCAATGCTCCAAACAAGAACAATGCATGGAGAGAACCTAAAGTCCCTGCTCAGATGTAGCCCATAGACTCAGTCTACAAGTGGGTTCTCTAATAAGTGGAGCAGGGGCATTCTCTGTCATGAACTGAGTGACAGGCTCTTTTATCACCTCCCCCTGGGGGATGCAGCCTTGCCTGGCCAAAGAGGAAGACAATGCAACCAGTCCTGATGAGACCTGACAGAGTAGGGTCAGATGGAAGGAGAAGAGGACCTCCCCTATCAGTGGACTAGGGTTGTGGCATGGGAGGAGAAGAGGAAGAGAGGGTGGGATTGGTCGGAGACAAGCAAGGGGGCCACAGCAGGGATACAAATTCAATAAATTGTAATAAATGATAATTTTTTTAAAAAAAAAAGCAGTAAATACTAGCAGCCATAGGGAATGCATGTAGTGTACTTCTCAGCAGCATTTCGGAAGCCATTCACGAATCAAATACAAAGAATGCTGAAGCACTTACCTCCCGGATGTCCCTTTGATACTTCGTGTTCATTTCTTCTGTTTTAATGAGGTCCTTTCTTGCTGTCTCTGCTTCCTGTTCCACTTCTCCCACCCGGGAAGAGAGAGCTGTTAAACGTTCTTTCATTTGGGCCATTTCATAGTTTTGTTTTTCAAGCAATTCTTGTAGCTCAACTATCTGGCTGGTGTCATCTGTTGAGTCTATGGAGCCATTGGATAGTCGCTGCAGGAAGAGAAAAAAAGCAGGGCATTTAGAATTTTCTTTATCCCTAACTTAAATGCATGACAAGAAAAACAAAAAAACAAAAACAAAAACAAAAAAGGGGAAACTAAACAGTCTTCACAATGAGAAATAAGAATTGGAAAAAAAAAGTGTTGGTGAAAAACTGTTTTTGAGAAAACTGATATTAATATATAAATTAAAATGACATGGAGGAGCTGGAGAGGTGGCTGAGTAGTTAGGAGCACCTGCTGCTCTTCCAAATAACCTGGAAAGAGTTCTGTCCATAGCCCCATGAAACTCTAGCTCCAGAGGATCTTACACTCTTTTCTGAACTCCACAGGTATCTGCATACACTTGCTCAGTTATACCTCCCTCTATCTATGTCTCTTTCTCAATCTCTCTCTCAATCTTTCTCTCTTTCTCTCACACACACAGAAAAATAATAAGATGAATATTTTAAAAAATATGAAAACAAACCAGTTTTCAATCAGGTGACAAATGCATTTGCACAACAATTTTATATGTATATGTGAAAAGGCTATATTAAATAAGTAACAGCACAGATCATATATATATATATATGATACATATAGTACATTATTTTAATCAATAGCTATGGTATAAACTATGTAAAATTTTTTTTAATCAATTTCTTTTGAACATTGCAAGCTATATTTCATTTTATTTTTAAATAAAGCATTTGACATACTTTATATACTTTATCTAGATCAGGTTTCTTTTTCCTTCCCCCAAATATACCCAGGTCCTCCCACCTTCCACCCTATCTAACTTCTGGAGACATGGAATCCTTTTGTGTTGACCAGCTACTCCTAAGAACTGGGCCTGCACTGGATGGCGGTTGATATTCCCAGTGACATTTCGTTGGAGAAAAGTTATTTTCCTTTCTCCAGCAGGTGTCAACTGAAAATAGTTTCTTGTTTAAGGATGGAACTTTGTGTTCACTTCAACTTATCAGTGCTGAAGTTATTGTCTGGTTTAAATTTTTCATCTTGTATGGGATGTCACAGTCTCTATGATGTCATATTGCTTCCTTTGAGTCATTGAAAATGTTTCTTGATCTCACAATATTTCTGCCTCTTCTACATAGACTCTCAAGCACTTAAAAGGCACCAGTTGATAAAGATATCTTATTTAGGTCTGCATTTTTCAAAGCCTTTCACTTTCTAGATGTTGTCCACATGTGGGTCTCTGTTTTATCATTTATGATGAGGGCTTATGTGATGCAGTGATTTAGTCACATAGTAATATGTCATTAGGAGTCATTTTATTGATATGTTTCTTTAGCAGAATAATAATATTAGGTTTTTCCTTAGAGTCCATTATCTATTTAGTTTCAGGTTCTTGGCCACTTTTTCAATATTAGGTATGGGTCCATCTTATAGTATGGGCCTTAAGTCAATCAAAGAAGTGACTGGTTATTCCTGCAACATCTGTGCTGTTATTGTATCAAATTATCTTGCAGTCAGGTCTCTGTGGTAGGTCCCAGGGTTTTTATTAAGGTGATATGGATGATCACTTTTCTCCTCCTCTCTTGTGCAAATGCATTCCAACACCAGGAGTACAAGTCAGTAGAGATTAGGCTTCTATCTGGGCCTCAGCTTTCTTTCTACATGTCAGTGACCTAAGAACATGGCATTTTCAGGGATAGGCCTTACCATCAGTCTGTGGAGAGTAAGCAAAAGCCTTGACAGTAACTATTTACTGTCACTATGGGCACTATTTAGGACCATTTTGGCCATCTGCTCAACAAGCTGTAATCCATTACTGGCACTTCAAGGTCTGCTTGGTGGCTTAAGGTGTCCAGCTGGGGCTCTGTCTCTGCTGTCACATGGTGATGTCACTTATATTTTTTCATATATTTATATATATGTTTATATATATATAATTTATATATTTATATATTTTGAAATCTTCTAAAGTAGTAGGCTTTCATATGACTTTTCAAAGAGCTTTTAGTGTTACCCAGCTCTTTCATATTGCTCCCAATGTAGTTTCATACAGTGATAAATGGAACTCTAAAACTACAGGTTTTGTTTCAGTGACACTCATACAAGTAACATTTACAATTTCATTGAAATAGCATAACTTATATGATGATTTTAATATCTCTGGGTGAGGTAGATCTCAGAAATTATTTATGTATTTCCAGTGCTTAAACTTTAGATATGCATAATATACATCGGAGGAAGCTTAAAAAGTTCAAATATTTTGAAACACTATTTTTACTTTTTAGATAAGATTTCTAGAAAGTACGAAAATTTATGTTTCAAAAGTGTCCTACAAATAACTCAATAATAGCAAAACAAGACAAAAGTATATTAAGAAAACTTTAAAGGACCTGAAAAGATATTCCTCAAAATAAGACTTACATAGGACCAGATTTATAAAAATAGGCTCAGCACTAGAAATCACCAAGGGAGGTACAAAATAAAACCACAATGACATATCACTCACGATTATTCTAATGCCCATACGAAAGTTAGAGGACAAGTGCTAGCAAGAATTTACACTATGGGGTGAATGTAAATTTGACAGTCATTATGGAAATTGGTCAGGCATCTATAAAATAAAATAAAATTGCCATATAAGGTATGGTATAACTAAGTATCCAGTGAGTATTTTATTATGCCACCTCTACCTTGTTATTCTATGTAATGTTATCCAAAATAGAGAACATATGGAATCAAAGTGCTTACTAACTGATAAGATGGTAGAAACAATGTGGTTCATATGCTGATAGAATACTGTTTCACGTCACAACGAAGAAGGTTTCCATTTTCTACAACATGATTGAATTTAGAAGAAATTACAAGTATAATGATCCGGAAAACAGTTACAACTTGATCTTGATTATGTACAGAATTTCATGTGCAGAGTAAAATGAAGCTAACAATGTATAACAGTGATATAACCAAGGTTGGGAAGTAAAGGAATGGAAGAAAAGGAAAAAAAAGGAGAAAGGAAAAAAAGAAGAAAAGAGATAAATCAATTAATCACAAAAAAGAAGAGAGGGTGGAAGGAAGAAAGAAAAAAGGACAAAAGTAACTGGTGTTCTCTTCTTTGTCTGTGTGCAGAGAGCTTCATAATGCAACAGTTCAGTATTCCTTCCTCTAAGAACAGTCCCTGGAGAGGTTCTTAGCTCTTACCCCTTTACAGGCAACAGAGCTGACATTCATAGCAATTGTCACTTCATGAGGTTATAGCTAAAAGACGACAGCATCGGAATCAATGCCCTCCCCCTTTCTTTGACAAGAAAGAACCTGTGTTATCAAGTGATCTGTGCAACCATGTAAGAAGTAGTTATAGGGATCCAAATAGTATCATAATAGAAACTAGGAATCTATAACATTTTCTTGTGAGAAAGAAACTGTTTACACCTATGTTTTTTGTTTTTTTTTTTTGTTTTGTTTTTTTTAATGTCAGAAAAATTATAGAAGAAAAATCCGAACTCTATGGTTTAAATGATTTACGGCTGTGTCTCCCCCAATGTAAAACAACAAATTACTTGGGTCTGCAGTAAACCCAAATGAGTCACAGAAAACATGTTAAAAGGATAAATGTAGAGGAGGACAAAAGTACAGTTCCATTTCTATGGCAGTCTACACTGGACGGGTCTACTGGACGGAGGCAGGAAAGCAGATTGGCAGCTGCCTGGGCCAGGATACTGAAATGAATCCCAGGGCCACAAATTCACTTTAAAGTATAAGGCATTTGCTCTTCGTTTGATTTGAAGTGGTGCTCACACAGTCTCTTTAAACACTGTAAATAATAGCTGCTTTATTAAAACTTTACAAAAAATCTTTAAAACGATTCAAAATTGCTTTAATAATAATAATAATAATAATAATAATAATAATAATAATAATAATA